CCCCCGCTTGATCTCTGTTAATCCATTACAGCAGGGCATGATGATGATAAGCTGTTGCTATAGGTCCCCAAATATGTTTCCTTCTGCTTTATTTCAGCTCTCTCATATAAATGAGAACCTGTTACCAACACTGCCAAGCCTGGTGAAAAGAAAACCGGCTCATTCTCAGTACATCTACCACTCACTAAACACCTATGGACTGCCTTCCCTGTACCCAATTACTCCTTTTTTATCATTACAGGTGTGGGCAGTAGATGCCAATGTGCTTCATAAGCCTCCATCACATTTTCTCTGGAAGGAGCAAAATCGATTAAGGACAGACTTAGATTGTTCCACCATCCTTTGTGAACCAAGTGGCCAAGTAAGCTTTGTTTTTGTAGCATAATTAATAACGGATCATTTCTCTTGCTCTCTGAGGTTAGCAGAAGCTAACTCCATTTCTTCTAAAAAGTGTGACTTTACATAATAATAATTGGGAAGAGCTGAAGTGACATACCATGTTTTGGCAAATAAAAGAATAGTGCAGAAGGGCAGGTGTGCTGAAGTGTGAGTTCCTGAAACAACAAACCAAAAGTTCCGGGCTCACGATTTTTGTGGCATTGAGCAAATGGCACTGGAGGAAAGCTTTTGTCGCGGTTGCCTACTTTGGATCCTTTAAAACCCTGGAGCTGACTATATAGGACCAGGCCCTATTAAATTTACTGGACTCAGTCAGAGGCTTAAGCAAGTGCTTAAAGGGCCTAGCTGAATTGAAGCTGCAGTGCTCAGTGATTTGCAGGATCATGCCCATGACTAAAAAAATCAAAACACAACATACTTAACTTTCAGGCCTCTGTGACCCTTGCATGGCTTGGCAAGCTAATTCTGAAATCTGGAGGACTAAATAGATGGGATAGTTGAGAAGGACTTTGGGGTACAGAGTTTTATACTTGGTTAGATCAGTGGTCCATCTAGCCAGTATCCTGTCTCCAACAGTGGCAGGAGTGGATGGTATAGAGGGAGAGAACTGAACTGGATGTATCTAGTGCAGGGGTGGGCAATTATTTTGGGCAGAGGGCCACTTACTGAGTTTTGGCAAGCCATCGAGGGCCACATGACAGGCAGTCAGGGGCAGATAAGTATGAATTCTCTAAATTTTTAGGGGCCCCGTGGGCCAGATAGAATAGCCTGGCGGGTCGCATCTGGCCCCTGGGCCGCATTTTGCCCTCCCTGATCTAGTGTGATCTAGTCCTTACTCAATACCTACCCTGGCATTCACCATTATTGGTTTAGAATTACCAGATGAAACATCACCAACGGTTGTGTTCAATAGCTGGTCCCTTTTCCAACCTGGCTATGCTATCTGCCTCTACCATCTGCTGTGGCAATCAATTCAACAAGTTAACTATGCATTGCATAAAAAAGTACTTTCTCTTTTTAGTTTTAAACTTGTCACCTACTAATTTCAGTGGGTGCCCCCTAGTTCTAGTATTCTGGGACTTGGTAAACAACAGCTATTTGTTCACTTGGTCTACACCTTTCATGATTTTAGAGACATCTATCGTATCCCTCCTCAGCTTGCTCCTTTTAAACTGCAGAGTCCTAGACTTTTTAGTCTCTCCTTGTACGGCAACAGCTCCATGAGCCTGATCATTTTCACTGCCCTTCTCTTTGCCTTTTTGAATTTTACTACATCCTTTTGAGATTGGGAATCAGAACTGCACACAGTATTCAAGATGTGAGTGCACTATGGATTTACATAATAGTGTGATGATGTTGTTAGCGATGCCCAACTTTTTATTGGCTTTTTCAGTTGCCACTGCCCATTGAGCCAACGTATTTAGAGATCTACAATGACTCCAAGGTTTCTTTCCTGAATCATAACACCTAATTTAAAACCCAGCATTGTGTATATATAGTTGAGGTTATTTCCCCTCAGCCCATGTCATTCAATCCTTGAGCATCTAGTAGTCCTTACCAGCAAAACTGTCAAATGCAAGGGCTTTTTGTGGGACAGATCTTTGTCTACTTATTAATGAGATAATGCCTGAAGTCATTTTAACCATGATGTTGTTGGCCATTTTTTATTGAGCCATTAGTAAATGCTGATTTAGTTTAAATCAAGCAGCAAAATGTCAAAGCTATTACATTATGGATCCAACCTATAATTTTAAAAACAGATTGAAAAAGCAAACACAATGTCTGCAACTTGGTGCACAGTGCTATTATTTTGATGATAATTTACCACCTGTTCAAAAATACCTCAGGACACTGATCCCCAAGTCTCCATACTGATCACTAGAAACAGTTATTTTGATGAGGAAATGCAGTACCCAAATGAGCTATACTTTTTTCTTTAGGCTGTTGCCTGGTGCACTCCTATGTACTGGAACAGAAAGCTGAGATGGAAGGGGCAAGAAGACGGTGAAAGCCTGAAGAATAACACAAAGCCAACCAAACTAATAAAACAGCAAAGAAAATCAGAATTGAAGCTATCTGATGTAGAACAGGGAGAAGCTCTCCGAGGCCAACCAGAAGAAAAAGGACCAATTTTCATTAAAAGGTGGGCACCCCACCTTTGACTACACTCTTTCATTACAACACTATTTCCTCCTGGCTGTGTAAGTGGCAATTTTTAAATGAGTGTCTTACAAAGAAGGTTTCCCATACCAGGGTTGGAAGAAATAGTTGAAAAAAAAAGAAAGATATGACCTAAATCTTCAGAGAGAATATTCCCTTAGGTTCCATGCAAGAGCATGCTCAAATCAGGCAGGATTTGACAATGAAGTCATGGAATTTTACAAGAAAGCCTGATTTTATCATTATTTTTATGCATTTCTGAGCACTCAAAAGTGCAACGGGGACATCCAGATATAAATGACACAATTCCTAACTCAAAGGTCTTACAATGTGAAGGTTCTGATGTTCACAGAACTTTCACTAGATTGATTAATTAAAAAGATTGGCCTCAAACTCATTAGGTAAGTCTACACTGCTCAATGACAGCTCCAGACCAAGATATTATTGGAGTGTACATGACAAGACACTAAGGCTAGGGACAGACATTACACATAAACCAATATACGTGATCAAAAACCAGTTCAAATCTGTAACACAACAGAAGTTCAGTGCACATGAATCACTTTCAAAATGGCTGAAACCGATGTAAGGTAAACCTGAATGGATATAGTATCAGACTTAACTGATTTAGGTTAAATCAGTTTATTGAACTTCTGTCCCAGATGCTCTCCAGATTCAAGTTAACTCAGAGTCCCCCAACATCCCAAGTTGTTTTGCATCTTCTCTGCAAACCTCCCATTGCACGGTGGGTGGGCTAGCCTTGGCCCAAGCTGTCTGCTTCAGCTGAGCAGGGAGGCATACTCTAGCAGGCCACAGCTTCTGGCCGGTGGTTGCATTTCTAGAACCAAAAAAGGAATGGCTATTCACTTGCTTATTGGTTCAATCTACACAGCTTAGACTAACCTGCAAATATTGAATCAATTCAGCTTCAGACTTTTTGATGATCTGTACTTAGCCTAAGATAACTCTGCTGCTTGTGGTTAGAAAGTTAGCTTGCATGGCCTGAGTGCAGTATGTTTCAGTACAGCACTGCCTAGAGCGATAATTAACTGGTACAGATATAGCCAGGGTGCCCTGATGCCCAGCCCACTGGACTTTTTTCCAAGGATATTTTGAAGGGGAACAGCAGCCTCGGCCATTTTTATTCCACGGTCTCTCCAGAGTTTTGGTTATTGGTGTTCCTGAAGCAAGCTCATTGAAGAATGACAACACATGCAAAGGAGTTGAAATGTTTTGAAATTCAGGGCATATCAGTTGCATTCATTGTACTGCATGTGTCCTAATGACAGAAATCTTTTTGTATGATTTGGCCAACGTGGACAGATTTTCACAAGGATGGCCAAAGAGCTATTTCCTCAGAATAATTCCCTTGCTAACTTGCAACTTCCTACTAGAGACAATTCAAAAACATTGGCTAATCTACCTTCACTAGCCTTTTTCTTGGAAGTGATTGGGTCGGTTTTGCTCAGACTTCCCAGAGTACATTCTATCTGAGGTAGATTCAACCTGAGGCAGAAAGGTTACGTAAAAAACTTCAGTGTAAATGGTCAATGTTTGGTAAAATTATAGATCAGCAGTCAGCAACCTCCTCAGATCACACGCTGAAATGACTCAGTTCAGGTCAGAGGCAGGTAAATCTACCATTGCTTTTCCTTACCATAGCATGGGGAAAGTTCCTACTGCCAATGCTTCTCCCCACTGAAAAAAAATACACATAACAGCTTCATTTGTTTTTCTGTTTACAGAGAAAACAAGGCCCCAGCAACCCTTTTCCCAACACAGAATTCTTGGTGCCGAAGTCCAAACTCTTCTACTCACCCTCACTTCTCCCTGGTTAGACCATTAACCATGGGCAATGATGGCAGCAGTCTGTGCAGACAGTCCAGGTGTCAGTCAGCAAAACCTGACCCAGCACCAGGTGAGTTGAAGAACAATTACACTGGCAGGCAAAGACATTTTTTTTCCCTGCTAGAGGAACGGTTAGCAAAATTTCTGAGAGATATTTCAGAAGAACTTCACATATACTATGTGTATGTGACCCAGTAGTGTAACAAAGCAGGATAGCAGGATACAAACCCCAGGCACGGATCCTCAGGGAGTGCAAAGCCAGCAGCAGCTGTACCACCAGCAGTGCAACCACTGACACTGACCCACGTGTGGTTGCTGTCTAGGGCACTCAAGCATCCAGTTATGCCTCTGTGATCACTTGCATTACAGACTTATCTGCCACAAACACATTTGGGAAGGAAGTGTTGTTTTTTTGTTTTGCTTTTATTTTTAATCAGAAAATATTGCTGTGCACCATTTGCTATTAGGAGTGACTGGTTTTAGGAAGTAAGAAAAAAGTACAATGACTTAGAGGGAGAGTGCACAAAGAGACCCTTCTACTAATGATGAATGATTAATTAGGCACTGGTGAGAATCCTGTGTTTAATTGTGGTACTTCATCTCCAGAGAGCTGTTGACAACCTGAAAGAATTCAGAGGGGAGTGACAGTGTAATTAAAAGTCTGAAGAGACTGACATATCAGGAAAGATTTAAAAGGATTAAGTGTGTGTTTGACAACTAAGGTGACTGTCAAATGTTTGGAAAGGTTCAAACACCAAGGAAAGAAATTGTCTGACAAAGGCTCAAAAACTATAACTATGAAGAATCAGATCAACTTGAGAGCAGGAAGACCTGGAATTCATTTTCTTAATATAGTTTTTCAATGGTAATAGTAAAAGTGTGAATCTCTTATTTTCAAAACCACCTTTGGAAGTTGTTTTAGTAAATCTTTTTCAATATCTAATAATTTAATCCTGCAAGGAATTGAGCATGCTGGGCTTGATCCAGAAAAGTATCTGCTTACATGCTTAATTTTAAACATATGAATTATCCCATCATAGACATGGACTTAAAATTAATCACATGCTTATACCAGATCAAGGCTTGGTAGCTCAAAACATTTCAGGATAGAGCTCTGATTCCAAGGTATACCTGAAGTCATCCTAATTCTGTGATAGTATAAAGGGAATGTAGAGATGAATACAGATAGAGAATATAGCAAAAAAGCCATCAGGTCTAACCCAAATTTATCTGGCTCCAGCTTACTAGGATGTCCAATTACAATCCTGCAGACTTGTTCTGAGCCTCTTTGAAACCAGCATTCTACTTCTTTGGGCTGCATGTTCTCCATGACCTACTCTTTGCTATCATACCCTTATGGACTGTTACTTCTAGGTCTGTTACTACTATTAGTATTGTTGTTGTTGTTAGCTGCTCAGAGGCCCCTTTCTACTATGCTTTACAGTCATAAAGGTGGATTTGCCCACTTCCCCATGGTGTTAACCATTAGGGGTGTGCGAAGCTTCGATCCCTGATTTGATTTGGCAGAGATTTGGCCTGATTTAGTGGCCGAATCTCTGAATCTGAAATGAATCAGGAGACCCTTTAATCTCTCCAAGTCAAATCAGAACCCTCTGAATTGATTCAGAGATATTTGGAAAGATTCAGTGATTTGGACATAGACACAGTTTTAAATGTTTTTTCTACATACCACAAGCTAGCAGGCGGCTCCTGAATGCTGTGATGCTGGGGTGTATGGAGCATCCCACAGGAGCATGGGGGGTCCACTTCTAGGTCCACTGGGGAGCGCTTCAGGGGGCCCCCCATGTCCCCCTGGCTTGGTGGCTGGTGCCTCCTGCGTCTGGGGGAGCACCCAGGGTCCTGCTACAGCCCATTGCCAAACTGAAGGGGCATGGGGGGCCCCCCTGCATGCTCCCCAGTGGACCCAAAAGTGGACCAGAAGTACTTCTGGGTTTGCTGCTGAGCATGTGCCCCCCGACGCTCCTGTGGGACATTCCATTTGCCCCAGAATTGCAGTATGCACGAGCCACACTTGGTACCTCAAGGTATGTAGAAAAGACATTTAAAGCTGTGTGCCCACCTGGCCTCGAGGATACACTCACATGCTGCCTTAGCACGTGCACCCAGTGTTGGGCATTGCGTGGGGTCTTGTGATCTCTGGAGGGATACTCAATCACCCCAGGGAAAGCCCAGGAATTTTCCTGCCATGACTTTGATTGAATCTTCAGTGGTGGGTCCCCCTTCTGAGGACTCTCCCAGGTAGGTCATGCCTCCTGACAGGTATCTGGGGGCTTCCACCTCCCCTACACCCCTTTCATACACCAACCTCCAGGACAAGTCAGTTGGTCTTTGTGTAGCTTGCCCTCCAGTTGCACCAGTCCTAGCTCTTCATGTTGCCTGCACAGCTGGTTCGCCCTGGCCGCTCAGCGTTTCTTCACGGCCAGCCAGCTGCCTGTCATGGGTCTGAGGCTGCTCCTGTCTCCCAGAGCACTGCCCACACCCTGGCCACAGCAAAAGGAAAAGAAAACCCAAAAGAATGACAATGGAGAAGACAAAAAAAAGAAACACAAAAAACTGAGGGAATAGGCTAGCAAGCCCTCTTCCTTCACAGCCCCCGTGCCTGTGGCTTGAGCCATCCTTTGATGTTGCTCTGGGTCCTCCCTCCTGTTGAGGGTCTCTCTTCCTTTCCTTATGCCAGCTCTTTGGCTGCACACCAGCGCTGCCTACACTTGGCATGGAGAGTGCCTTCCTCGCCAGCTGTCTCCCCTGGTCTCCCTGCGTCTCTGCCAGTGCTGGCTTTTATTTTGGCCAGGTGGCATTCTATGATGATGTCAGCAGCCCGTGCCAGCTCCAGCTGGAAGTAAGCATGGCTTACAAACTGCACGGGTGGCTCTTCCCAGCACGTCTCATCCCACTCTTCCTGGCCTGAAACTGGTAAGTTTACCCTGGTTTCAGGGCTTTCTTTGTGGGAGTGGGTCACCCTCATCCCCTATCCTAATGTGAAGGGACCCCTGTCCTACCGGTCCTGGTGACCGTCTCCCTGGGACACTGTGTTAAAGCTGTGATGGCTGATTCTCCAAATCAGCATCAAATCTTCAGATTCGGATTCAGACGAATCAAATTGGGGACAGTGATCCAAATCAACAAACTGAATCACTGTCCCCAATTTAGGCCAAATCCAAATTGACTATGGCCCATTTCACACACCCCTATTAACCATCTGGCTGGACTCTAGGGGTACTAGGAGAGTAATTGGAATCTACCCCATTTGCACTGTTCCATTGAAGCCCTCAAATCCACCCAGCACTCAAGAGACAACATTCTCAGCAGAGACATTCCAAAAGGAGATTTCATTAGAGACTATCAGCCAGCCTAGATCAAGAGAGCCAACATCCTCTGTTATCAAGAAAGCTGGTAGTGCCTGTCTACATGGAGAGATGGATCAAGGCATCTGATGATCCAGGCCAGTGATTCTCAGCCAGGGTTCCATGAAATTTTTAAATGTGCCATTTGAGAACTGTTAGGTGTGCAAACACCTACACATAATTTACAGGATAAACCCAGAGATTTCAAATAGAAATCTATAGTGTCAAAAAAGTGTCAAGTGCCCTGCTGTGGTGTTTTTGAATTCTTTGTAACATAAGAATTGCTCTATTATTTTTCCTTAGTCAAGAAACAAGTGAAAGCTAAAAGCTGACATTTTCTGAGGGGTGCCTAAGAGGTTGAAAACCACTGGTCTAGGCACATCTCAATGTGAGGTCCATTCCAAGTGGAATGATAGGAGACAGGGGACCTCTACTCTTCCCCGCCCAGAGAGCAAGGGGCAGCAGTCTAGGGCTTGCTTATCCCTCTTAGGGAGTGAAAACAGGGCACCCTTAACTTGGGAGGCAGAAGGTAAGAGTCTCCCAAACTACTTATCTTAGTGGCCAAAGGCTGTCTGCTTGAGTAGGAGGGACAGGACATCTTTGCTCTTCTCTCCCCATACCCTGAATCTTCTGTTGGGATGAATTTGGCAAGGTCCTCCAAACAATAGGTTTTGAAATTAAAATCTCATTGAAAAGCATAACATGCATCACCTCTGAACTATTTTTCTAGTCTGCTTGAATACTCAGGCAGACATTGCTACTGGGATAGTAGTTGGCTTAAATTTCCAAGCTTCCCCCACCCTTACAACCATGAGCAACTGAAGCAGTTCGATTTTATTTTATTTTATTTTTTAAATTGAAAACTGAGATTCTAATATAATAACAAACTGAACCTGGGCTCTAGTCCCATGAAGATAGTCCCTTATGCCTTTATCCAGTACTTTCAGAGTGTGGAAACTCTGAGTATGTGTTTCAAAGAAAGTTGGTCCAACTCATAGTTTCATAGTTGATAGGGTTGGAAGGGACCTGAGCAGATCATCAAGTCTGACCCCCTGCCATGGCAGGAAAGAGTACTGGGGTCAAACGACCCCAGCAAGGTGTTCATCCAGCCTCCTTTTAAAACCCCCCAAGGCAGGAGCCAGCACCACTTCTCTTGGAAGTTGGTTCCAGATCCTAGCCGCCCTGACAGTGAAGTGGCGCCTCCTGATATCTAGCCTAAATCTACCCTCTGCCAGCTTGTGACCATTATTTCTTGTCACTCCTGGTAGTGCTTGGGGGAACAGGGACTCTCCCAATTCCTGCTTGTCCCCCCTGACCAGTTTGTAAATGGCCACTAGATCCCCCATCCGTCTTCTCTTGTGGAGGCTGAACAGGTTCAGGTCCCTTAGCTTCTCCTCATAGGGCCTGCCCTGCTGACTCCTGATCATGTGGGTGGCCCTCGTCTGGACCCTCTCCATGGTGTCCACATCCCTCCTGAAGTGTGGTGTCCAGAACTGGATGCAGTATTCCAACTGCGGCATGACCAGTGTCACATAGAGGGGGTGGATCACCTCCTTGGACCTGCTTGAGATGCATCTGTGGATGCATGACAAGATACGGTTAGCCTTCCTGACCGCTTCCCCACACTGTCGGCCCATGTTCATTTTGGCATCAATAATAACTCCAAGATCCTTTTCTTCCTCTGCACTGACAAGAAGGGAGTTCC